TTAGAACCTAAAATTGCTATGAAGGTAATTTTAGACCCCAAAATGTGTGAAGTTTAGCCAATACGATCATACCAATTCAGCTCCACTTTCAACAAAAAGACGGTGACCGTTAATTAATCATTTTTTAAAAAAAAATACATGGGCCGGCTGGTTGTGCGTAATAACCAACATGAAAATGCCAACAAAAAGCCAACATCGGCATTGGCTGAAATATGACGTAAAAGGGCCTAATTTTTCAAATTATCTAATATTTTTGGTGGTACACAAGTATTAGAAATTGTTATATTTATGAATATTTCAATCGTCTTTGAACTGATTTTGATCTAACAGATGATTTTGTCATTTGAATTGTATGTTCTTTCAAATTTGACACTCGGTATTTCATTATCTCACAAAAAATTATTTTGTGTAGCGCCCTCCGCAACAGAACTCAACTATCCCTTTAAATACGTTGAATGTTGAGTTTGGCATCGAATATAATGTGCTTTATTGCTATTCTATGCATTTATTAAAGAGGTTCATGACTTAAGGCATTATTTTCCATGTTATATTTCATCAAATTGTAACTTTTAGTCATACTTGACAAGCACTGATATTGATTTAGAGATTTTATTAATCTGGTAGAAGGGAAGTAACACAGGACTAACAAAGTTGATTCCGATATTTTTCAAAGTATATTAAAGACATCTTTCTTGCTATCGTTATCAAGAGGGCAAATAGTTGTGTAAAGAAGTGTTAAAATCATATGATTATTGTTGGTTGGAGGATTAAGATATCTTCATTTGTCATAATTAGAAAATCATTGTGTTATCGATGGTACTATAACAGCATTTTTCAGAGTTTTCAAAGACTATTTTCAGGACCATATACATCATTATGTGCAATGAATTGAAGAAAGAAAAAAAAATCTACTTTGCATAGTATTTGTTGCAGATTTTTCTAATGACCTTGGCCCGAATTCACAAAGGAGGTTTAAATTTAACCCATGGTTTAAATATTCATTTACATAACCCATGGTCTAAAATTAGCCCAAAATAAGTGGACACAGTCAGAGGTCTAATATTAGACGCAAGCAAGGCAAGGTACGCTTATTTTGCGCTAACTTTTAAACCATGGGTTATGTAATTGAGGATTTAAACCATGGGTTAGGTTAAACCTCCTTTGTGAATTCGGGTCCTCATGTCTGTGACATATTGCAATTTCTGTTTTGTTTTGACATCTTACATAAATGTTATAGCATTGAGATAAGATTGTCAATGTTGAACCATATATTGTTTGATAAAAAGAAGTATTTTATTCAAATTACATTGATTAATCCAAGAGATTTTAAAGAATATATATATATTAAAGAGCAACGTTGATCAGAAATTATATTAACTTGTTAAAATTGTATTTTGTTGAGGATGGCTTAGAAATATTTTCCTATTGTTAACTTCCATCTTTATTAATGACTGGCCATGTGTTTGTCCTTTTGTTGTGATGGTGTCTCGAAGTGATAAGCAACGGCATTACTCACATCATTTCAAACACCACCATCATCATCATCATAATCATCACTATCACCACCTTTATCATCATCACCATCACCCTCATCTTCATCATCACCACCAGCACCTCCACCATCATCATCACTACCACCACCACCACCATCATCATAATCGTCATTATCATCATCACTATCACTGCCATTATCATCATCATCATCATCATCACCACCACCACCACCATCATCATCCATTATGATCATCACCATCACCCTCATCTTCATCATTACCACCAGCACCTCCATCATCATCATCAACACCACCACCACCACCACCACCACCATCATCATGATCATCATTATCATCATCACTATCACTGCCATTATCATCATCATCATCATCATCACCACCCCCACCACCATCATAATCAACATCATCATCATCACTAGCACCACCATTATCATCATCATCATCACCACCACCGCCACCACCATCATCATCCATTATCATCATTACCATCTTCATCACCACCACCACCATCGCCATCATCATAATCATCGTCATCATCGTCATCATCGTCACCATCAACACCACAATCACCATCTTCATCACCACCACCTTCATCTCACCACCATCATCATCTTCATCACCACCACCTTCATCTCACCACCATCATCATCTTCATCACCATCACCATGTTCATCACCTCCCTCTGTCCTTTTCCTAGACTAAAAAGGGCTAAGTCATACTACTCTTTAAAAGGCGGTATGTAAATATCTCTCCTGATACATGTGCTTAAGACATACCTAAACTTACTGTTTACACTCTTGGATAAAGGTACACTAAATATAAAAACTGGTCCAGATAACCACATAAATTCAAACACTGAATGAACCGTTTCTTATGAAGTCAAATTTATAAATAATCATGTCACATTTTGTCCTTCTTGTGGATGCTAAATAGTCAGAAAAAGAGGAAAACGATATAATAACCCCCTTTTTTGGTTCGATATTCATTTTGTTTGAAACGTTCATAAATTTTGTGTCAACATACAATTCTACTTCCCACAAGAGAAAGACTTTTAAAATGTGGAAAAGTACCTTTTACTTGTCTAAATGTAATCCGCTGAAAGGGTTTTGATGAGATATATAAATTTATTAGTGATTTCACGTCTGAGAATATGATAATGAAATGTAATATTGAGGGATAATCTTGAGACACTGAATCACAAACAACAGAGAGGCAAACAAACAGACGAATCGTTTGAGAATGAATTTTAATGCAGCTCAAATCGGTGCGAGGAAAACAAGATATTGCATAAGATAATGATCAAACATTATTGAAATCCCAGAATTACAGTAAGTGAATGTGTGTAGTCGTGCTGTACAGAGAGTGACAACAGTTTCTTATAAAGGATATGTCACTAGCCATATATACATTAGGCCTAAACTAAAAAGATTTTGCATTGCCCTTTGCGACCGACCAAAAAATCTTGAAATCTACGGTCGGCTTTTTTTTCAAGTTTTTTTTTTCAAACCGTTTTTTAGAAGAAAAAAAAGTGTATTAAAGTATTCAAAACTGAGAAATATCAGCCCAAAGAGAGAGTAAAAAGAAAAAAAAAAGATTTCCGACCGACCGACCCATGTTTTGGCACCTTGAGGACAATACAACATCTTTTTTTTAGGCCTTACTACGGAATCTTTAAAATGCCGACGAGATACATGTAATTAAGGAGTTGTTGGATCTCGGCGTGTCGACTTGCCAAGTTCGAACAACTCGTCATCTCGTCGGCACTTATATAAGTTTCCGTGCATTACTTTAGACGACAATATCATTTCTACCGCCTGAAATATGATTGCAATATGAAATGTAATATATCTTAGAGTTACATATTGTAGAGGCTTTTCACACAGCCGTCAAACATTTGGCCTCTTTGAAGTCAATATATCCATATAGAATAAAATGGCACATACTAAAATAATGTTAAGATAACCAGGACATTGTTAACATGTTCATGTCATAAAGAAGTTCCAAAACACACACACATGAAACGTGAGGCATGTTTAAAGGGCAAAATCAATCAATCTAGCATGCATAAAGTCATTCAATACTGGCCAAGCAGCAATATTGTATTTTGCACACAACACATTCACATTTTACAACTTGATGGTAGTAATGATTCAATCTTTCTTTTTTTATAAATCTATCACAACTTGCAAATAGACAATAGTGTTAAATACTGTTTTCACATAAAAAGAAAAAATATAATTAATAGCACATCAATTATGAGTAATAGTAACATTTCACGTCATTTATGTTTCGGTGCATTTTGCACTCAAAATAATATAGAACAGGTATGCAATCAAAATATATTAGTGACATTGCACGGTGATCAGCTTTTTACAACAAACAATGCAGACAAATTGACGTGACTTAAAGGTACTATGTCCCATTTGCAGGCCAAAAAAAATGAAAAGGTAAAAATTCCAACGGCATTTGAAAGATAATACTAGGCCTAATTTAGAACTTCCCTTAAAAAAAAGGGGGGGGGGGCTTGAAAATGTCTTTAAGTGGGAAAATAACGACTATTAGTTGTCGACTTAAGTGTTACCAAGTCGTTAAGTAATAATCTGATTTTCAGACCATTGTATCGAATGGTCGTACGTTTTTGTGCTGCGCAAAGATTCAATCAGTTTAATTTTGGCCATTACAAGAAGTGGGTTATTGATGTAGACAAATGCTCATGTACCCTTTACAGCTCATTTTATGTATGTTATTACCAAAGAAGAAAAAGCCAGTCAGTCACTCAATAGTGTCTAACAGTGAAGTCTAGCAAGTAAACGGGTTTCCAAGCATAATTTGAATATTAGGACACTGCTAAGCCTAACGTTTAAATTTCATAGATAGGACATACATGACATATTCATAATTCCTGCAAAGTTCTACATAATTTGATGTTGGCTGCAAAAGGGACATAGTATCTTTAAACACTAACATTGATTAAAATCATTCAAAAATTCAAAATAAGAGGAAGAACACGCTGTGCATCAAATTAAATTGAATATTAATATGCATTGGCAAAATCATCAGCATCATTGAACATGTATATTCTAATTTATTTCTATTCATTACACGTAGAATTAGGCAAAGCAATAAGCACTTGTATACTATTGTCTTGCATATAAAAACGTATATACAAATTAAGATTCGTTGAACAACATAGTCGGTTGTAATAATTAAAGTACAATGTATACAAATAGTTATTATGATATTAGTTTTAATTAATTACATTTAATTAAACTCTGATCAACTTGCATAGTATATAAGATGCACTTGAAAGTGAAAATAGCTGCTAGATAATAATATTTGTAGACTATAATGGACGGATCAAGGTAAATGCACAACTTTAATAATTGCTTGACCTCAAAAGGCAATATAATACTATCGGCTATTGCATAGAAGCTATGTTAAATCACCACTTATCATAAGTGCACTATATAAATAGTAAATGAGAAAGACAGACGGAAGAAGTGTTGAAATGTACAAGGAAAGATATACAAGCACAAAAAGAAAGAGAGGAATATATAAAGAGGGTGGAGGGAGGGAGAGAGAGATTTGGGAAGATTGTGGCAGAAATAGGAAGTAAGAAGTTTTACGCTTTAGTTTGGCCGATCATAACATATTTAAACAAAAACATTTATGCATCCACAACACTCGTTCATTTCGAGTTGTGAATATACCAAGTTAATAATCACATCAACTCACTTCATATAATTATTTGCCCTCCATTACGAAACCCACTTCAAAACTCGTCGATATCTAGCGCAAATTCAATTTGTCATTGAAAAAGTTATAAGAAAGTCTATTAACCCACGTCCTCAAGGAAGCCCTTCAGACCTCGGAGCAACCCTGACATGACATCACAAGCGTTTGGGATTCTATCATTTGATCCCCATTGCCACGAAGGGTGAAGTTCCTTTGCCTTATTACAGTTACAAGGGCACTGGGCCTGCGCTATTCGTAGTATGTCCATATAATATTGTCTAGGGACAGGCATTGCCCTTCATTCAGTGCCAGGAGAATGCATTCTCTCCTTGAAACTCATGTTTCTTTCCATCAGAGATATTATCACGGAGATCTGGATTCGTCTCTCCAAAGGTGTTGTTGAATTCCGCACGGGTACCCGTCTTGGTGAAGGAGTTCTGCTGATTCAGAAGAGTCGTTTGGGGTCTTGGTCCCAAGGCGTAGCCTGGAGTCCAATCGAACCTCCAGTCACGGTTCCCTTCTGGATTGGAATGGCGTGCATCAACGACAGGATTGCTTCCCGGGTTGTGGGCTGCAGGCTCGGTGGGACCGTTCATGCTGGTACGTAACATCTGCTCGTGGCTTGTCATGGGTTGTTCATGGGTCCGCAGAGGCTCTGCATTTCCACCGTTAGCTACTTTGACCGTGTCTGAAATCGAGACTTGCTTCGAGGCACTGCTGGTTTTGCTATTAGGTGACGCTGCTGTGGTCGCGTTGCTGTTGTAGATCTGTGGTAGAGGACGGTTGGCATCCCAGAGGTCAAACCTAGGCTGATCAGGAGTCACGATGGTCTTTATATTCTCGGGTGTGTAGCTGTAGACATAAGTGGACTGCGGAACTGGCTTCTGAACCTTTTCACCTTCCACAGTCCGAGGACGACCATTCATTAGCTGATCCTGCGTGTACTTGGGCATGACGTATGGGTTGCGCCCAGGAGTACCAGGAAACTGTGCGTCAATCTTCTCCTGCACCTTCTCTCGAATCTTAGCAGCATGGGACTCGATCTTGTATTGATCTGTAATGGCTGACGTCTTGTGATAGTCCCATGGAGTTACATAGTCGTGTTCATATGGGTTATCACCATCATAGTAGAAGGGTGGTTTAGATGTATACGTCTTGTGTAGACTGTCATAGTAGACCTGCTTCTGCAGAGATGGCGTCGTGTAGTCCACTTTCCTCTTCAGTTCTTTCAAGTCATGATGGTGCTCTTGGAGTTCAGCCTGCTTCCACCTAGCCTTGTGCGCCATGTCTTCCACCTCGGCCCGACGATTAACCGCCATGTCCTGGAGGTAGGTCGACTCCTTGACCTTCTCTACAGGCTTGTAGCTGTTGTCACCGATGGGTAGAGTATTGGCTGGGTCTGCATTCTCAGCCGCCTCGCGTTTCTTCTCCTCGATCTTACTGAGGTGGCCATCAGGATGCTGGGCGGACTGAAGACGTTCCCACTGCTTGGTCAGAGTGGGGTCCTGGAACTGTTCCGTTGTCTCGGTTGGCAGGTTTTTATGCTCACGAACCTAAAAGAAAGTAATATCAATACATTAAAATCATAAAATCAATTATTGTTCGCATTTCCTATAAAGACACTCAAACCAATAATAATCTCAGCTCACATACGACAACGCGATTTTGAAAGCGTTTGAGGTCGATTGGGATGAGGGGGATTGAAATGGGTCCGATCTCCTGCTCCCCATCAAAAACTCCCATGGACAAGTTTATAAAAAAGAATTTTGTCCTCGTCGGCTTTATTACTATTTAAAGATTCATTTTATTTTCTCTGCTTGTTCGACCATGTTGGGAGTATGATATCAATTGGATAACCCGAAAATCCATAATGTGGCTTTACATTCATACTATGGGCTATGTGAAATCATACTCAATTTTGCCCAATCGAATTTCAGAATAACGATAAACCTTTTGTTTCCCATCTGAGGTTCTAAACAAACAACTTTTTAAAAAGATTTTCAAGCATTGTTAAGTTTAATTAATTAAAGACATTTTCAGATTCTCACCTTGTCCATTTCAATCTCGATCTTAGGGTAGTAGGGTACATAGAGAATCCTTCCGTCCTTGACCACACATCGTACCATCTGGTTGGGACCGATCAGACGTGAGATCCTACCTTCCATAGGGCGGGGTGGCATGAAGGTTGGGTAGCTGCGAGGGTTCTGAATGGATACAACAAAAATAAGATAGATATTTAGGATAAACATTGTGTAGTGAATTTGTTTACAGTGTTTGTTGGCTATTACTCCATTCTGTATTCGTGTTATTTGAAAAGCATTTCCTCCTTGTCATCTATCTGTAATGTAATAAAGAGATAAGATAATAGTTTGATTGGATTTATTATGGAGCATGCTAAGGAAGGAAACATGATTATACAAAGATTCCATGGTCTTACAGATGTCACCTCTAGACCTAAAGTGGTATCACCTGGCTGGAGGAAAGAAAGTGATTAGCAGATTACAATATTGCTTTAGGACGCTGGATGGAGAAAAGAAATTGATTATAGGATGAAATTTCCTTGTTGGTATACGTCTCTGCTCGAACCTTGATGTATGTAATGCAGACAACTCGGATGGTTTGAAGAACAAAATTGGTTCCTGAAAGGATGATTGTTCATTGGGTGTACATTCAAAGCCAGTCAAGATGATAGTAAACATGCATGAACTAAGGAGAATAAGGAGAAGAGTCAAATGGATGTCTTCACTGGGTGTAATACGACATTGCCAATAATTATATGTCGAAGTGCAATCTGAGTCGTTTAGCATTGCAATCTAATAACCTTTAACTTTTAATTTTCCTCTCCCATCCCACAAAGAACAAAATAAATACGCAGTGCTTATTTTTGTTTGATGAACGTTCGTAGTTAATTTTAAGCTGGTCTTGGGGCGAATTTTAACTTTTAACTTCCTCTCCCATCCCTCAACGAACAACTAAACTACCTAGTGTTATTTTTTGTTTGCTGTACGTCTTAAGTTCATTTTAAGCTGGTCTTGAGGCGAATATTAACTTTAGCCTATTTTCCGAAACAAACAATAAACATCTTCACTTCTGTTTGCTTGCCTCTCGTTCGAAGAGAAATACTAAAAACAAACACTATTCTTTTTCTAGTGCATTTGTTAACCAGACCACCATACACTCGACACCCAGAAACGTTTCGAGAATTATTTTATGGTTTCTGTTAACTTCAGCACTGGTGCGGGCCTTCAGTGTGAATAACAAACTTAATTTCATGTAATGCATTTTGTGTAGTTCATCGGATAAGGGATATCAGTTGACATTTTCTTTATGTTTTCCATCATATCGGCAGACTTACTGCTCTACTTAAAAAAAGCATCTATTATGTTTTCGCCTATATCTTAATATACCAAGCATGAATATTTATTTTGTTGTATCACTCTTTGCCATCTTTCACAAAACGAGAAATTTCTTCCTATCATCTAAATTCACATTTCTTCTTTTATATTGTAGTCGATTTATTATTGAACAACCACTTCAGAAACGAACATCAAACATTTACCAAGCCTTATATTCACACAGCCATTATGGTGGGCGTGGCTAGAGGAAACCACTGCTGCAGTCGCTAAGAAACTGCACTTAGCAACCAAACCAGCTATCGATTTCGGTATGGACATCAATCGTCTGTTTGGGCGGATAATGGCTTGTAGTAATGTGAAAGTGTGACATGTTTGATACAAAAGAAGAGAATCGATTTCCAATAAAGAAGTCAGTTTACATTTTTTTTATTGGAGGGTGATGCAGAGAAGCTATATCCATGTGTATGATGTTAAGGAGACGGAAGAGCCATCTTGTCTCTGGTGTGTGAATGTTATTCGGTAGGAATATTATCTAGTTTTCTTCTATCATGACTATATTTCGGCTTACTAGAATTTCTTCTTAATTTGTCTTTATCTTGACTACTCTTTCTTTAATATAGTCTGTCATGTTATGTTATTGTATTCCGATATTCATTTCAAGTAGACTTTTCACAAAATGTCTTCATATTGTAAAGCTCCCAAACCATTAACACATATTTTCTTTTGGTTTGGTCCCAATTGTAATTCATTCTCGTTCTGGTACCTAGGACAGAAATCCTAATGTATGTTCTTTATTGTAATGTTATTGCTTCGCGATTATGATATCTTTAAATGAGCAACAACTGATGAAAAGGAGATTGCAGAATAAACAAAACATTTCTTTATTGCAATAAAACAAATACATCAACTCAAACAACAAATAAAAGCTAAGTGTCACAAAAATAGCACATTGCATAACACTTTCGAAAAAGAGACGGATACTCGCAAGTAAATCCTGACTCTGAAACTTTTGCCAAAGAAGCATTTAAATCATTAGAAATAGTAATATACGTAGAATACAGATAGTATTAAGCTTTGTTCGACAGCTAAACAAAGAATTTATATCTTACATGTAATATTTTTTATAAAAACTATTTAAAAATACTGATTTTTGTACTCTTATAGTGCACAACAGTTTATAAGAATAGATGAATAACATGGAAATACAAATGGAGATTAAAGTTGTGCGTAGGAAATTCTGAAATTGTGCAATAGTTTAGGATTTGTTTTTGGTAAAGAGGAAATTCTTAGAGGAATGTAAACGAGCAATTATGAAGGAGATTAAAGTAGACAGGACCCATTAACCAAAGACTACCAGATAGCTACTAGAAAAATCCAAAGACGGTAAGAATTCGAGAGTTACTAAGTTCTAATTTCTAATTATTAACTACATTATACTTCAAACGGGTATAAGTCTGATTAAACTTGACCCGAATCAGTTTTCTTGTACTTTTACGATTGAAAGACATTGCTTAAAGTGAGATTTATATGGTTTTACAACCATAGCAACTTACATTAAAATAATTTGTTTGAAAAATGAACTGTCACATATCAGTTATTACAAAATACATTATGATTTTTCGTTAAAATAAAAAGCATATGAATATCTTAACACAATTGCTTCTGGACGGAATTCTCACACAATTATTTGCATAAAATCATAATACTAATTCTGTACAAAAACCCTTTGGTAAAGGTTCCAATATAGTATGGACGGATCACTCTTGCATTCAATTAATGGCATACAACAATAATAAGCATTAATTTCTCGAAATACCCAATAACTTCCGACATCGTTCATTTGACATCTGACCTTTCTGAGCCCGAGCATGAAACTAAATCTAGCTTGGCAACTTTTATAATGAATACGTTGTGAAAAGCACTGAAATAAATATTGTTTTCATCAATTTCGGGGAAGTGATTCAGCAATATATGGTCCATTTTATTGAATAGGTTTTTATGATCCTGCACCATTAAAAACGTTCAAAGGTCTGCATAAATAAATCGCAACGTAACGAAGATAATAAATTCCCTTTATTCAATATTAAAGGATAAACGCTATTTGATTCTCATTTATGACAAACAATCACGATCGAAACCATTTCTTGATAAAATAAATTGCATTTCATGTTATACAGAAATGCAGGCATAACATTATATGGCATGGATATATTATTTCTTGAAATACAAAATTATGCGAACATTTTTATCTTGGGGAAGGCGGAAGGTATGCTTTATTCCAATGTGATCTCTGGACGCCGTGACGTAATAATGGTAGACATCGTTGGACAGGCTGTGGATAAGAATGAGGGTTTAAAAGTGGATTTAACACTATACGGTAATAATGTTTGTCATAGTTATATATCGTTTCAACACAATCATAAAAATGATGAATACAAAGAAAGTATATCAAAACATCACAATATCACCAAAATTTCCTGATGTCATACGTTGAAAATGACATCAAGATAATTTGGATCAAGTTTCGAAATCAATAAAATGCAATAAAACCTGTAAGAAGGAAATGAGAATATCGAGTCACATTTAATTTTGTAACTCTCAATTCATCATAAGCACAAATAACATCATCAGTTCATTACAAAAATCAATGATCAGTTTAGCCCATACTCAATTATTCAACAGTAATGTCATGCAGTAATATCATTTCGTAAAATTTAAAGTAAAGCTCAAACATTAGGGTTTTATAATGCTTTAAAAAAAAGTGTATGCCTGTCAAGAGGACTTGTGAATCAAAAATTATAGTCATATGAAAGTTCCAAGATATTAGTGATATATGAATCGTTATGAAACTAGATGCATGCTAAATTTTGTATTTCGTATCATCTCTTTCAAATATTTCAAAAGATCTCATTGTTTTACTAAATCGTGAAGGCCTCATCATTCATATTTGCATAGGTTACGATAATTACAGTCTTCTTTATTCGTCTCCCGCCTTACTATCTTTATTACATTGCCCCGTTTTCTGTCCAAGTGAGTAATTCCCATCTCATTTTGAGATACCTACCAAACTATGATCCTCGATTCTCAGCTTCTTCTCCATCTCCATCTTATCCTCCAGGTTGTCCAGGTCGAGGGTGTTGGCGGGTCCGTAGCCGGCATGGGCGCGGTTATACGTGGTCGTCCATTGCGACCTCTCCACGTTGCGGAGGGCGTTGGCTGTACGTGGATTGAGGGTGTGGTCTAGCTTGCGAGGGGCGTGGTTGGGAATGACAGCCTTGGGCGGGATTGGGTAGAACTGCTGTTGACCACTGGCGGGCGTCTTCTTATTCTGTGATAATTCAGAAAGATGGGAAGTCATTTTAAAAGATTGAACAGATTTTTTGGGGGGGGACAAATTTTATGAAAATATCAAAAATTGGACAACAATTTAATGAATCAAAAAACAACAAAAAATCGAGAATAAAGACAATTACTCAATCTTAGACAACCTCTTCTACAGTTTATTTTCATTCTTGATTGTGGGAAATCGAGACGGCATTTACCTGGAAGAATAGATCACCAGGCCATGAGAGAGCTTTCTTCTGAGAGTCATGAGGAATATGTTCTGTCTCAACGCGATCACGGGCTCCTGGATAATCAAAATAAAAACAACAACTTTATTTTAAAATTTCACTAAAACACACATTTATATCTTTTAAATAAAATAATGATGTCTAAAATAAATGTACATTATGTGGGTTGGAATTCAAGATGTTAACCATATCAAAAGTTAGTTCATTTTGTCTTCTAAAAATGTTGTCAAAGATATTTTCAAACTCTCAATGAATGCACAAAGGAAGGCTGCAAATTGAGTGACAGATATCGCTTTTTAGTGGACCCACTTTTGTAATATGTATTCCTAAATTGTTGTAAATGTTTATAATTGATTTGTAATGTTTTGTTGGAAACATAAATAAATTGAATTGAATTGTATTAAATATACCAAACAGTTTTCTTGTAATTTATTCAATACTTCTAATTGCTGTCGGAATTGTCAAATTTGACACCAAATCGAGTTACTTACCCTTGCTCTTGTAGTTGATGGTGATAGGGTTAGGATTAGCAGGGATCTCTGGGTGAAGGGGTTGCTGCTGTCGGACAGCCTCCCCTGTCTTATAATCATCAGGTGTGGAGGCAAAGCTTGGAAACATGGCAAAGCGGGACATGTGGGAACTGTAGGGATGCTCGGCAGGGAAGGGCTGGTCTATCGAGAGCTTGCTACAAATAAAAAAAAATATATATATCGGAGAGCATTAGCAACGACATTGGAGGGGCAATGGTAATTTATCTTAAACCGGTTAACAACATGTTTATAGGAGCATGGGACTAGTAAAACGGGTGGAATATAGTCAGCTATACGGACTGTTTAAAATTCTGAAATATCAGAGCATTTAATGTTTGTTATAAAAACACTAATACACACTCCATTATTGTATACTAATCATTACTTCTCTCTTAAACGTTAATAAGACAAATGAAAGCCTCAAATTTAGAAACAAAAACATATAAAACATAAGAACAGAAATAAAACCGAATGAATATCATCAACTTCTTTGACTGAATAATGAATTTGATAATTACACAAATGTAATTAACTTTTGCGAGGAAATATTTTGGGGTAGTAGAGAAATAAATAGGCATAGTTTGAATATTCAGATACTTACGTCATATCAACTTCCGTTGGCCTTGGTAATCTGAAGGGAAAAAAAGAATGATATATGAATAAATTAAGAGAATTGCCACTTGTAGATCCAGAAGACGCAATAACAATTTACTTGAAATAAACTTAATACCAATATGTATTTTAATTTTTTGTGTTATATGATAATATCTTATATGAACATATAATACTGTTTATAAATTAATTGGAAGTTTTTAATTAAATCTTTCATGCAATTCATTCCAATGAGGCCGAAAATAACAGAAAAAGAAATATATGTATTTAGAAAAAATATTTGTATCTTTCAATCGGCATACAGTTATTCATGTAATTTTCCTTTCGTCCACTCACTGAAACTGTCTGAGGAATGTATTTGATGTTCTTATTCTGACAAAATGAAAAAATGAAGAATAAAACAATTCAGACAGTAATGAAATATACTTACAATTGATCATTTGATCTGATGTTACTCCTCTTGAGTAGCGTGAGGTCGTAGTATTGGTCGATGGGGATCCCTCTATATAAACATATGAAGGAAATTAGAGAAAGAAAATATATACATGCACAGATACATCCTTGGTTGCCATGGTATAACCTTTTTACCACTAGTTTTGGTATGAAACAAATCTACCCTTGCCTTTTCAACCACGCAGTTCGATTACATATCTGGATGATTTGCAAAGTTGGAGATATTTGAAAGACCATGTCGCAGTAATGCATTACAGATTATTCTTAAACTAATTGATGATTACGACGACAATTAGTAAAGTACGTATTATTGTGTATTTTCTTGTGTTGAAAGTACATTGTTACGAGCAAATAGATTTGTACTTAGACTTAAACACATGCACTCCAATGCAATATTCATAAACAGAAACATATACATTTTCTAGCCTTGTCAAATATAGTAAATATATAGAGCGCGCCACAATACTGTTATTAAAATGTTTGTACTAGTTTAAGTAAAGGCAATATTTGGATAGTTCCAAATGGATTGCCTAAGGAAGTCACAATTGAAATCTAATCAACAGGTCTTGTACAAATATAACTTCTCCCATTTGTAAACAAAGGCGCAAAGTCAAACATCGGACAAATTCTAACAACCTTCAAACGTGTCAGGTATGTTTCCTGCAAATTAATGATTACTATTTCATAGTCGAAGTATAAGTATCTTACGTGTAGTAGAGAGGGTGCAGTTTTAAAAACGTCTTTTTCTTCCCAACCTCCTCTTGCATTTTAACTTGTTGAAGATGAGGATAAGTCCTCGGTAATGCTGGCAGAAGTGAAGTCATGGTGACAGGTTGATCAAATACCACGCGAAAAAGAGCAAAGTCCAAGAGAAATTGGCAGAAAATCTCGCAATAAAACTTCGAAATCACGGTGGAAATGGTCAACGGTAGATTACAAAGGCCATAAATCGGCCATTAGTTGCAAATCAAACTACATCAGGTCACCAATAACAACTTGACATGACTCAAACAACACGAAGATGTACACGACCAAGACACTCCACGCTTATTCTGCTACCAGTCTACGGGACCACGTTGGTACCCCTGTGTGTTACCCCTCCGCTCCTGACCGCACGCACAGATTTCTTTTTGTTGACGGTCCCGAAACACGGAAGCCGGTGACGCTCATGAATATCACTAAGGAGATATGCAAAACAACCAGTCATATAATACCTCCCTGCGATCAAATACGGGTCATGACATCGACTCGGTATTGTCGTGTATTAAAGGCTGGGTAACTCCCAAGAATGGAAAAGACTGAATAGAAATCGATAATAGATAGTGCTCCCAGTGAGCTTTTATCGTTAAGAGGTAGACAAAAGGCGTATTAGGGGTGTTAACTACAGAAATATTGAAACTCTGTTTACATGAAGATACCGTATAAAGTAATGACCAAGAAATTGGGCGGCCAGGCAGGGTAACCCGATTTTGCTAGACAATAAACTTTCAAAACGAATAGCAGATCAACAGGGAATTCTTTATGCTTCCAAGAAAAAGAAAATCACCGACCAAGTAATAAGTTTCGTGTTTTGGGGGGTATAAATATTATATATATAAAATTTCAGAAGGTGCCCTATTAACTCTTTAATCTTTTGAGGAATGTATTCAATGACTGAAATTTCATCTGATATAACGCTTGTATGATTTGATGATTAACTGACTGATATTAATTGAACTGCGTTGAACTGAGTTCAATAAATTGACCTAGAAAATTGTATATCGAATGATGAATTCACGCATAGTTCGCTTTGCGGCTTGTCTTTTATGTATGCCTTTACCATACTTCCTAAAAGAGATAAGATCTTTTATCGATTAGAAGCCTAATAAATCTTTCTAATAAATTGCTATGATGAAAGATTGTAAAGCCTCTTTGGTATTCATCAACTGAAATGATACCAAAGGCAATAATGTTTACAGGTAGGAGCCACTTTTTTCATTTTCTTTTTCAATGAAAGGGTAGATAGATTGCAGTTCAGAATTGTGAATTCCACAAAGTTTAACGTTGAATTTTCCGCTGAAGTAGTACACATATTGACGTTAAGATATTTTAAGGCCATATTAAAAAAAATCATACAATTTCTATTCCAAAATCTGGTATTCTTTAACCCTATTTTAACTGGGCTATTTCAGACCAGGTTTTTACTGGGGGGGGGGGGGGGTCAATTTGACCCCCCCGTAAGATCTCGGCCGTTTCACCGCCAATCGCCGCGAAAATTTGCATGCATGTCAAGTGAAGTGTATAGAATACTATGGTAATTTCAAATTTTTGAAAAATTCATTTATTTGCATATTTATGGTAATTTATGCAAATAAGGTCATCAAATTCACATTTCTGCCCATAAATCATAGATTATTCATGTTTACGTATTCTTTTTCACTACATATATTTATTAGACCATTTGGAATAATAATACAACACAAAAAATTGGAAGAGCCAGGTTATTCCTTATGTTATCTCTTGTTTTTATAATTTCTTATGTATTTCATTGTTTTTTTAACTTATGTATTTTATTGTTTTTGTTGTTTTATTTCATTTATAACTACAATTCAACTATTTTGACCCCAAAACAAACATCTAAACTTTAAACAAGACTGAATAACCAATGTTTTATCTATTTTTAGGGAAAATGACTTTTCCATATGTTTTGTACACAAATCACGAAAATGAGCGATTTTCGGGCTGACATGCAAAGACAAAAGGTCACGTGACCTTGTAACCGCAGGTCCGATTTTCGAAAAAATCGTTTTAAAAGATGCGTAAGACTCGAAAGTAAAAAGTCATGAAAGGAAAATTTTATATCTGCCGCGGTTTCGGAGTAGTCGCGAAATTTCTACAGGGGGGGGTCAAATTGACCCCCCCCCCAGTTAACGTAGGGTTAAAATAAAATTCAATTCTGTGATATACTTTCGTGCTGTATTAAGCACGGATTTTGCTATAAGTGCGTAATTCTTTTTTTAAAAATTACACGAAATGTTTTTATGTTAACATTTCGTAATCTCATTATGCTTTACCTCAGAAACATAAACTTTTTCCATCACTGAGAACACAGTGATTTGATATTAAATTAAAGCTTGTTTTTGTGTCGGTGAACACAGGCCCCTAGCTATACAAACTACGTCATGGTATTTCATTTCCAACATAGTTTTATATTGGCACTAAACCATTTCAACTAATCATGGCAAAATAATAAAAGAAATTACGTGAATGCGTGAGCGGTAAGATATAAGATAACCATGGCAACGAGTAGGATGTCTGATATCACATAGATTAATGTTACTTACCATCCCGCATGATGTTCTGCAAAATAAACTTGATATGCTAAAAAAAAAATTGTAACATAAATATACATGCGTACTATAGCAATGTAATAAAACTTGTAAATGTATTCGAAGTAAACTAGAGCTGGGATATCGTGTACTTTTCGTGACATTCATTCACATTTATGTCTTAATCAATCCTTTAGAATTTTACCATTCGCGGGGAGCATTTTCAAAATTGTCCTCCTTTTTTCTCACCATTCTCATTCTCGTCGAATTAATATTTGGAAAATATGAAGAATGAGAATTTTGAATCACTTTCAAAATTAACTCAAAGCAATCACCCTTATTGATTGCCGAGTTCACTGATTCAAGTCTCATCCTTAAGATGCACCTTTTCTTCATCAAGGCGTTTAATTCTGTTTCAAAAAATAATTCGTTTTTGAGAGCCTGCAATGTCCAACAAAGATCGATAAAGAAAAAATGTATATTTTATTCAAATTACAGAATTTATATCTGAATTTGTATCTGAATTTGTATCTAAAGGATTGACTTTGACTTTGCTTAGCAGATATATCCAGCTCTAGTTCTCACCTGGGATAGGGATTGACTCCTGCTCCGTAATGTCGATGTCCTTTCTCTACCGCTGCGGGCGGTTCACTTTTGGGCCTGTGATCATCCGGTAGATTGATGGGGCCAGCGCCTCCATACTCACGGGCCGTACCCCAGGGGACACGGGGGGTTTTGTCGAGAGCATCTCGAAAGTGTGAATATCTATAAAGTAATAACAATTTTTTAAAAGATTAATGAAAATTAAAGAGATTTACATATCCATTTAATTACTTCTTTACCTGTGCAGGCTATAACATGAAACAATTATTATTATTTATTTTTTTTGGGGGGGGGGGGGTGAGAGACATTTTTCCATATTACCAGAGGTCTTTCACTGATATAACAATCACTGAAATGACTGGCTGGTCCTTACATTTCTTTATATTATGAAAGATTTTGAAATCATAAAAAACCGAGCAAAGACAATTCGCACGATGGTGTAGGTTTGACAAAATTTAACTCGAACCTTTAACTCCAATGCTATACCTCCTCCCCTAATACAGCACTTTACACATTGATAAGTGTCATTGGTATAGATTGATTAGTTCGAAATCAATATTATAAAAATGAAAGGGAAGATCCTTTCATGACTCTTTTATCTCGATATAACAGCCAAAGTAAATGTTTAATATAACCACTTACAGACTGACTAGAGACCTCTAATTGGCGCGCAAACAAAACGAGACAAAATCAAACAGACAGGTCGTCTTACGATATTATTTACACTTTTCTAGGCGCTGTTGACTTTTGCTACACAGCAGTTACAGAGGGATTATAGTAAGAATGCATTCAAAAGTGTCCTATTGTACAATAAGACAGGTTAATATTTGCTCTACGGATTCTTCTTGACACAAGAGATAAGAGACTTTTACATGAACAGATTTCATCCTCTGAAAAGACGTGAGATGTGTATCCTTTATTTTGCGTGAATCCACCAAAAGGATGCGACTTTTCAGATACAAAATAAAAGAGGGGCGTTAGGCTTAAAATGCCCTTTGTTCCTTCAATATAATATCATATGCTCATTATGCTCATCTCATGGAATTATCAGTGTTATGATTTTAAGGCCGAACCTGGCTATCAAGGCCACCTAGTGGCATGGTAAAAGGGACCATTCGCCTAACTTAATCACATTTTCCTGTATCATGATCTCTTCAAAAAACGCACTGAAATGTATTATGTAATGCCTTGATAAATAAATGTCACATATTAATGTTCACTGTTACGTTACAGTGGTCTTTGGACAAAAACACTGTACAAATCAACAATCACCTTCTATTCGTAGTTACAATCTTATCACGAGCATAAATTAACATATACCTGCTAGATAAGTGAGTAGTTGCCTAGTTGGGCAATTGAAGTTCATTCATACCCTAAGTCATACATGACATTGAGTGCAAAACTAAAATTGCCCTTAAAATCTAAGAAGACATATAAGACTATCATCATCTGATCGTTTCGCTATACACCAGGAGCTGATTTTTTTAAATGGGTGGTGCCAAAAACTAGTGGACGAGCATCTCCATAAAATGTAAGACTGCTATTTCTAAAATGCACAGAGCGGAGTAATCTTTGGTTAGCCAGGGGTCATCTTGAGAGTATGCAAACTAAGTAATATTCAGGTAACATTTCCTTACATTTTCTACAACACATAATGTTACTCTAAGATTAAGAAATGGCTAATATATGCAAATATATTAGCCATTTAGCTTGGGTGATACTACGAAGTGAACAGGTAGGCATAAATACCACAATAGCCAAGCCTTTCCCTCGCCACCGGATTTCGAGCTATAAATCAACGAAACGAACTTTGGACTAACGCCAATTTACTTGGTATCTAATTACGAAAATTATGGTCATTATCCCACACAAATTTGTTAGCAAATATGAAGTCTAGGCCGTATCGATCAATACTTAATGTCATCTCTGTATTGTACAAAGAGTTCATAAAATGTATGTATTAACAGGTAAATAATGGTAAAATATGATACACTGCTTTATTCGATTATTTTTTAGGACGAGTTTTCAATGCTTTACGACTATCATCCTCCTACCATCCAACTGCCATTTGAAATTTAAAAATTCCGAGCCGACACACCCCAAAGGGACAACTTTGATGGATATACAGGATTATGAATATAATGAAATTTTAAAATAAGTAAACTGTTGAAGAACCCAACCTGTCGTAGACTTCCATAATGAAACATTGTTCGATCACCAAGTGACGCTGTCATTTACATGACAAGCCATGAAATATGAGAACTGGAAATGTGTGCTCTTGAATAGAGCATGAAGATCGAACCAATTTAAATATGAAATAATGATGGCTGTACCCGATGTTAGGCATAATCATGTGTTAAAATGCCTTCAGTTACATTATCGTGTAATTTCATCTGTGTGTGCTCAAATGTATTAAAAAAGACATAGTCAAATACCCGAACACCAACTTAATTTCTATCCTGTTGAACATAATGATGTTAATTCATTACTGCATTTCAAGGATGTCCAAAACTAAAAAGTCTACATTTCCGTAAAACTTTTCTTAATTTGAAAGCATTTTCTGTATAAATAAACCGCATGTACTGAGTACACCATCAATGCATCATGCTGTTATCCGATTAACACAGTAAAGTAGGATAATCCACTCTAGGTTATACCAATAAAACCCAAATGAATGCACCGATGACAATTCTACAACTCTATAAAAGGTTTCATTTCATCATTCTCACCCTTATAAGACCGGCTTTCAACCGTTCAAGCACAGCCGAAACATATCAAAGACTTTACGTTAATACGTTTATTCTACTCGGGGTTGTCTCCTCCTTCTGTAGTTGTTTAGTGTACTTAAGTATGGTGTTATACTCAATAATGTTATCCATGTTCTATTTACTTTTTTTTATACATTATTTTCCTTATACAAGATTTCATATTCCACCATTTTCCATTCTCTCTGCTATTTATTTCCTTCTTCTTCGTCAGTGGCGTATCAACACAATGATCTCAGGAGGAGCAAAGCGTCTGAGCTTTCTGAATGCAATTTGCCCCTCTTTCAAATACGCTATAGTTTTTTTTTCGTTGTTGTGAAAGATGGATATCTTATCTACAAAATTATTTCCGATCAATATTTTCAATTGCTGCTTTTTCAAACCCCTACACCTCATCGTCCATTGTCTTAACTCCGAGACCCTGAACCAAGTCTACCATGAGATGCAACAAACCATTTCCTTCCTTCTTGTTTTAATCAAAATTCTTTTTACTGAGAAAATACTTCACAATTCGCCTTTCCATTCGTGCTCTCTCACTCTTTTCTCTCTCTCTCTCTCTCTCTCTCTCTCTCTCTCTCTCTCTCTCTCTCTCTCTCTCTCTCTCTCTCACATAATCGTTGTTGTTTTGTTTTTTATGAGAGATACGCATCACAAGAAAAAAGTTCCGATCAATATTCTCATTTCCTGGGGTCTTTTTCCTATATACTACATTAATTGTTCCAATTCAGAGACGCTGACCACAGTCTAAAATGCAATGCCAAAACTCTCTTTTATTTTGTATTTTTTGAATTCTTTTTTCTAAGAAAATACTTCATAGTTCATTATGTTCCATTCTCTCTGCTTTCTTCCTCTTGGTTCTCTCGGTTGTTGTTTAGTTGTTATGAGAAATCTAACAAAATCAGTTCCAATCAATATTCTCATTTGCTCTCGTCTGTTTCCTACCCCTAAACCTCATCGGTCATTGTCCTAATTCAGAGACGCTGACCACATACTACCCTGAAATGCCAAGCTCTGACCAATGGTCAACCAAGGATCTTTAAGACATCAATCAGCAATCTCGAAAAACACCCTTTATCTCGTAACCATGTCACCGAATTCGCATCTATTCTTTGATTGGGAAGACACAGTTTCGTAATAGATCTTTATGATGTTTGCGTCTTGTCATAAATCGCTCCACCGGTTAACCAAAGAACCTATTGATTATTTTGCGACTGATTTTGGCACTTTGCATCTAATGTCACATGGGCCTGTATACAGTGAAGGAAGAAGAAGACCTGTTGCATTGTAATGAGCCATCTAAAATACTATCTTTTAAGGCTTATTTAAATTCATAATCGGATTATTGCAAGTGACTTTTTAACCTGACAATGTTATCATTGAATACATTTATCAATGAGCTTCGGACATGATTAAGGTTTGTTGTTGCTCCGCAAGAAAACAAATTTGTGCAATAAACAGAAGAAAAAAATTGAAGTGCATCAGAGGGACGAGATTATACAAATACAAATATAAATAGTGGACTCGATTCACAGGGGCCTAGGTGCAATGGCTACCTTCTTATTTTAATAAACTTCAGTGTGGTTTCCAATCGGTACACACACTTATCAACAAGTTAATACACTGTCATAAAGGTGGAATAATTTTTTTAAACCCAAATTTATGGAATGATTTTGACCATGAAAACAAACACTCGCCAATTCAATACAATATCAGAATGTATACTATTATTTAGATGTATTGGGAATAAATCATGGTCAAAATAATTCCATAAATTGGGGTAAAAAAATAATTCCACCTTCATGACCAATAGTGTATGTTATTTTTTTCTTCCAAATATTAAGTTTTTAATTTTGACTCGAATATTTTGAAGTTGGTGTTTTAATGATTGTTTTACCTGACTGATAATAAGGCGTGTGTATGCTTGTAAAGAAATAAATATGGGACCGAAAGCCTTAAGTCCTCTCCGAGGGACTTTGTAATGAGGAGTACTGCCCTAGTGCACGAGCTTATTGACTTGGTTTCGAACCCAGGACTTCCCAGTTACGAGACCACTGCTCTACCGCTGAGCCATCGCGCCTCCTATAATTTTGAATTATACATGTATTAACTTCGCGCGTCGAACAGAACCACCATATAGACTACACTTAATATAATTTGTGACACTGTATTCTTAATTTATAGACCATTAACAATAATTATTAACCAACATCTGGTAATACATTATCTTATGATAGAAACCTGATCTAATCTAAGCGATTTACCTTGCATCCAGTGGAAAGGGCTCTACATAATTTACAGCCGTTACCTGGGTACTATTTTAATTGCTTTATATCAGCCATACATAAAGACCCGGATGAGCTCGATTCTGAATTCAATTTAGTTTTCACAATGACCTTATCCATCTACTACGTTGTTTTTAATCCCTTTCCAATTCTGAAGTACCGTTTTCTGACAGACGGATGACACAAATTGAAAGGCATGTGGCAACAACCACATCCATCAATTTTACAACCGTTTCATACCTTCATGACAAGCATGTACGACCTTATATTTGATCAGAAATACGGAGTTCCTTTTAATAGTACGAATCTATAGGGAGGGGTAAATTTCTATGAAATGCGTGCATTTAAAAAAAAAATTAAATTCTTTACTACAAACTTTTCAATACAAGCAAGTGCTAATTGTGAAATAATCTAATACGTTATTACGTGTCTGTTCAACGCAGGCACTCTCCCTCTTTTCATAATTTGTATAAATATGAAAACACACGTTTGCTCGTGTAAACTTTTTACTATCCAAAATAACAATATAGTAATTTTAACATAGTACAATTATTATTATTATGTAACTGTTGCTTTGTATCATAATATGCATGATGTTGTATAAAAAAAATGATGCAATACTCTTTAGAAATGGACATACATCTACAAGGGTATAATTCGTTAACTCGTCAACTTCATTAGATTATCTATATCTTGATGATTTTTGTTAGGGGGTGGGTTGGGGTCACATTTTAACATAACATTATTATTAACAACAAAAAACAGCACAATCGGAACGGATCGTGAACACGGGCGAAATACTAAATCAACTATTTAGACAGTGACTGATCATCATTATAATATTCATACTTGCATTCTACGTGACGAGCAGCTGAAAAGGGTGAATCAGATTTCACACAGGTGCATCATTGAGCATACCCTCCCCCCCCCCCCCATATTCTATAAATCAATTTCGTACCTTAATTTTAAAAAAAGGACAACGATAGATTACTTTCTCGAAAATAAATTATTAATAACAACGGCAGGTGAAGAGGACAATTAACTGCCGATAGTCCCTTTCAATTGACAAAGACATTTCTTTTAATTCAGATCATGTTTACATCCTATCAAATTAGCAACTCGATATAAAGAGAGTATTCGATCTATACTTGCATAATACATGCACCGATCACTGCGATGCTTAGCAACACAGACCACGCACCATACATAATGTATGTTCACAATTCAATCGGAGCTGGTATATCTGTATATGCATGTCATTAAAAACCATCGCTATCAGCATGTGTAATCACTCAATATAGATGTTTATCTCTACAGACTGTGTAGGAGCTTTATGCATCTTAAAGAAATTATGTTATTAGATAAACACCAATATTTGGAAAGTGGAGAACGTATAGTTAACTAACGAGATGATATCATTTTTTTTAGAACTCGCTGTCGTCTTTATCGTGGCTTGATTCATGAATAAAGACACCAATCAATATTTAATTGTACCGAAGTTGTAAAGAACTTTGTTTGGCCCGCGCTGGTTGCCTGTGGGCATGTCGTATGCTTCAGTCAAACTCAAGGTAAAATGTCAAATTGAGGTTATATAAGTGTATCAGATTAACAAATATCTTTAAGTAAGTCGAGTTTGTCTCAAGTTATCAACTGATAATAACCTTATGGGCATACTTGAACTTTACAATGAACTGTGCATATCAACATTAACAAATATACAGTTAATAACTAAATTATCCATACCCCTTGTAAATATGATGTTTTTTTGTGTTTTCCGTAAGTCCGAAATGAAAGGAGGACAGGTTGATTTAGTACATTTTGTATGTTACTTTTAGATATACGTCATATTTTATATGTCATATTGCCAAGAAACATACATTGGGACATAATTTTTACCATATTACTTTCTTCATTTTTTTTTACAAAACTTCTTGGGAGCCCCCCAATTCGCCAAAAATTTGACGGCATAATTTCACTTAAATTGTATCATAATGTGAAAGAGGATGTCATTTAAGACACACTTCTGTAAAGATTGCCCCCCCCCCCCCGAAAATGTGTTTGAAGACAAATATTGATAAAAGAATAAATAATTTGGGTTTTCGGTTGTACGCAGAAAACCTAAAATTTGTATTCTTTCAATCAATATTCGACTTCGAATACATTTGTTTTGAAAATCCTTGCAGAAATGTGTCTTAAATGACATTTTTGTTCACATTATGATTCAATTTAAGTGAAATTTTGCCATCAAATTTTTGTTGCTCCGAACACTTTAGAGGGGCTTCAAGGGTACGAATAATTTTCGTTGTTAACTGTACATGCCTATAATAATAATGACACATAATATTCCATGTTATCGTGTAGGTACAAGTACTAAACCTGATGAATCTTCCTAAAACAATTTCAACAGATTGATCAAAACACTCAAACCAACATTGATTAAAATGATAAACATATTAGAAGAAACACAATTTCACTATGACTTCGTCGTATCCTTACCTCAATAATTAGATGTATTTTGGGAATTGCACACAAAACTAGAACTGAATTTCTAACAAAAATGTTATCCTCAATTTACAAGTGCATGTCTTAAGTCCTCACATTATTTCGTCGATGGCAGTGACGATACACTTTAGATACATCACTTAATTTATATATATTTGTTAAACAACTCCCTGCTCGTGATATGTTTTAAAATCGAAGGAACATCAGTAACGATTTAACATCTCAGAAATAGTCATATTGTCACTTAACCTTCGAAATATTATCTTTGGTTTCAAATGTTACCGAATCAGTCTTTAGAATTGTTGAAGGACTGTGTTACATCCACTGGAAAAGACAGCATTCACGCATAAAACAGTATATATTCAGGTAACTTACATAAATATAAAGCTTTAAAACCGTTTTTGGTTTCACGTGGAATTGCCCATTTCTTTCTAGTAACCCATCTTGGTTACTACATGTATAACTTTAATATTTACAAACAATATTTAATATATATATTCCTGAATCAACATGAATAAAATGTTGCTTACCTGCTGACTGATATTGTAGATCTCTGAGGAACTTGGAAAGGTGTAAAAAGTTCACTTGACTGAAAATTCCTTGAGAGGGTATCCAGTCCCTGTGGCTCGCGGTAATAATGGGCCACTCCCATCGGGCCCGCCGAGGCGGGGTTGGTCATGCTAATAGCCGCCGTCATTTTTTGTACGATTTAGTCAATCAGTGGTATGATGAGTCAAATAATTATTGATATGATATGGAATTCTTTGCTGATTTGTATGAGTTCACAATGTCACTCCATTTTTTGTACCGATAGTCACAGCTCTAGAGATAGTATATATCCCGAACCAGACCATGTACACAATACTGAAGTAAAACGAATATCACAAAGTAAAAGTCAGGGTTGTTTAGGTGAGATATGAACTTTCAATAAATTCCGTTGCGATAAAAACTCAAGATCATCCGATTAATCCGCCACAAATATAAATCCACTGGAATCGGGAGGTTTTCACCTATCTGAATAATATTTCCAAGCTTGTATGTCAAGCCGACGATGAATGATGTCTCGTGCTCTCAGATGAGTTACATCGATATGGTTACATTGATCAATCTTGCTCAGCACACAGTGGTCCATGCACATTCGATATCAACATTCACATGTGATACGGCGTCGCGGTGAAAAACACACACACCTGTGGGAATACATAGCAATGCACGGAACGTCGCTAGCAGACGACCGATATCGGTCTAAACATACGGGACATCCGCGTAACCAGGGCGACCGGAAGCTTTGCTCGGTGCGACACTTCAATGCACGCGAACGACTATACGCTGCGGGATGCAGTGTCTGAATCGAGCTGTATTCATTATCATACAGAGGTCCACCTTTACATGACGTTTATCCTTGAATATACGAAATCGATATTGTATACAATAGTTTGTTGGAGTAAAGAACAAAGTGATGTAGTGATGTGTAACACTTTGTTACAAACGATATACAAGACCGTTGTTATAGAGATGCTATTCATTGGTTACGCCTGATTGATAATGAGGTGCTTCAATATGGTTCATGAATGACGTTTTGTATCGTTTTATCTCTCAATCATTTACGGCTTTGAAAACCATATCACGTTATCCTCATCTCTATTGACAATTGAATTAATTTTTATTGGACATATTTTGATCATGTAAAATGCTCAAACTTTTAATTTTTAATTTGCATGATTAATTAAGGAAAGACTTTACATGTAAATGATATATCGAAATGCATCAGTACTAAGAAGCAAAACTGGTAGAGCGACAAAAAGAGGAATAGAATTGAGTAGAATTGAATCAAGCATTAAGCTTTTTGGTGCACTAGGTTTTATCGATGGGTTCATCCACAATATTAATTTTCTTCCCCAAAATGGGAATTTGTTTTTTTATTTCTGCGTTTTCAAAATAGTACATAATCAGGAACCAACATTGCTAACTTATATCTGCAGACTTGACACTCATAGCGCTCCCAATTGTTACCCTGGCTTTTCAAATGGCTGCGATTACGACGCTCTAGCTTTTTAAAGAATTATTTTCTGCCAATTACCTATTTACATCACCTCCCAGGTGGGTTGAATGTGGCAAATATAGATCAATGTCTTGTCAAAGGACATTGGTGCCGCGGCGGGACTCGAACCGCGAACCCTGTGATCCACAGTCCCTTGACGTATCCACTCGACCACTCGACCACGGCCCCTCCCCCACACACAACGCACACACACACACACGTTCTCAATGACCCATGTTGGAGCACAGTATTTCATGGGTAATCACGAGAGCAAGTACGTTATTAATCTTATGTCTTATTGGTACGTTTTGCTTGAGCTATCATCCACCCACCCACCTCAGTGGTTAGAAAACCGTGATGTCAGATTCACTCTCAAAAGAGGGCGCTAAAGTCAACATACGATGGAGCAACTTTGAATGTTCCCCAAACCAGCATGACTTTTTGTTTCATTAATAACTTGCTTGATTGTTTGCATTTCTTAATTCAAATACAAGTATATTGATACAGTCCTCTTCCTCCTTTAAAATAGTAACCCATGACACTAATATCAATTATTCTCGTGATCCAAGCAGTCAAACAATTTGACAGGTATTATTATCATTATATGTTCACTGTGCTTTTAAGTATCTCATGGCAGTGGTGGAGCAAGAGTCCAGGAATTTAGGGGGCTTTGGTGAAAGGGCGGGGAGGGGGGGGGGGGTTCTGGTCTTACTGTGTGGACAATGTTAATAAATAATAATAATAGTAATGATAATAGCAATAACATTAATATTAAACATAATGATAATGATGATAATAATGATGATAATAAATAATTACAATCATAGTCATAATAAGAATAATAATAATAATACTTATTAAAAAAATAATAATGATAATAGTAATAGCGGAGTCTTTCATAGCGCTTATGTCTAACACATTGCCACTCCTGGCGCGCCACTATTGCTACTCCGGCTTTAAGCTTTCAATCTAATGGTACTTCTACTTCTACGACGATACTCAGCAGGATCCATAAGTCAGGATGTAGTGCTGAGGAATAAACTATCTAGTTCTTGGTCTAGATGCTTGGTGGAAGCGCTCCCTTGAAGCCCTCCAGTGAAGTAGCGTCAAGGGTGATCTTTGAAAGTGCATTCCACGCAGTTACTGTCCGAGGGAAAAATGAGTTCTGGTAGAGCAGGGTGCGGGATGGAATAGCCAGCAACTTCTTTGAGTGATACTGTCGTGTGTTGGTAGTTACTCCTGCATTTATCTTGATTCTTTGATTTACTTCCATACTTTTAAATTTTCAATAACATCTTTGTATTTGTTTTGTCAATTACATTATATACTAATATTGTTGTTTGAATATTTGATATATTTGATTTGCAATAAATGCGGGAACATCTGGTTAAAAATTTAAGTCCTATCGATTACCCATTTACCTTACCTGGGTTAAGTGTGGCAAATTAAATGTAGATTAATGTCTTGCCAAAGGACGCTATTCTGCGATAGGGATTCGAACTACATACCTTGTGGCTCACAGTTCGTAAATTCATCCAAAACCACAGCACCTCTCTGGACAAAATACTGGAAAATAAAGCATTCGAGTAAAAAAGAGAGAGAGAGGAAGAGAGAGAGAGAGGGAGAGCGGGTGGGCGGTGGGGAAGGGCGGGGGGAGGTGTACGTCACGTATCACAATGACCCCTGAAATTTATCAAGAAATGTCTATGGTAATACAAAATATCGTCACACTAATAACTAAAGACGAATTAACCCCCTCCACCATCAAAATAATGTTCTAAAAGCGCCCTTTCGGATTATAGGACACTACAAATTTAGATCTAAATTTGTTAAGATAACGATCATGTATGACAAAGATTCTTCGGCAGTCCCTCTATCATCATTACCTACACGATCACGTGCCAATAAGGAGTGCTCATTTATCCCAAGAAAACATAACATCATTCTAGTGTAATGGTATAGTGTCGTTTTGGGCCACTTTTTAATGGCTAATTCATCATTTGCCTGTCATGACGGTCTACATGAAGTTATTATTTCGCGTGTTCGGTTACGCTGATGTAGCGAGAGAGGAGAAAATGTTTACGCCACAAGTTGACATAAATCGTCAGAAAAATAATTATCCCGCGGCCAGCTATAGTTTCATGGGGTATACATACATGCTTCAAAAGGTCAAGTATATTGTCAAGCGTGGACTATAATTATGGACCAGGAATAAGATCGGACGAGATGATGTCTGTACCTCAAGAGAGAGAGAGAGAGAGAGAGAGAGAGAGAGAGCTTGATTGGGGAGGGGGTGTAATAGAAACAAGAAGGGGACACGGTCTCATAACGTAAAAATCCTCTCCTTTTTCTTTTGTCAATGTTATTTTGAATGAGCGCCATCTGGGTTATAACTTAACATAATGATACATATTAATAAATATTATGATGTCTTGTATACCCAGGAAAGCATTATCAGTATTAATACTGCTCTCCCTGAGGGCCCTGCACTCAAATTTTTACCCGGGCTTTAGCCGAGCTACCATGAAAAGACGCTCAAGTATTCAATGAATTTCTTTCTACCAGGTACTCATTTGCCTCACCTGGGTGGAGTGTGGCAAATTAAGGTTAATATCTTGCCGATCGACATTAGTGCCGCGGCGGGACTCGAACCAAAAACCATGCGATCCACAGTCCGGTGACGTTACCTCTAGTCCACGACACCTCTATACCATGAATTATAATTGGGTTCATTCGCACTACCGTCGTCACAAAATACAATTCAGAATTATTTTCGGATGACTTCTGTAAAATAAATTTGTCTCTCCCCTCTGTTCAGTCAAAGTCCCCATTTCTCTCTCTCTCTCTCTCTTTCTCCTCCTCTCTCTTCCTCTCTCTCTTTTTATCTCTCTCTCTCTCTCATCCGTCGATGTCAAGCAGCGACTTTGTAAAAAGTCATGCTTTCCAATTCGCAATCCCAAACGGAAGTTTCATTTTTAACTGATTTTATTTACTGCCCAGATCAAAAAGCTTATTCATCGTAACAATTCCTGGAATGCTTTATATTTAGAAAGAGTTGCTTTAGGCATCGGACTTATGAAAAGATGAACAGGGTAGTGAAACAATATTCTGTGACCATGTCGTCGGCTTATCTCCGCGAAATGGAATAATTCATCATTTCCCGTTCCAAGATCCACCGCTCTAGGGTTACCAAGACGCAGCCAATATTATGGCGTCGAAACATCCATGTCCTTACAAAAACCAATTCGAGCCACTCTCCCCCTTTTTTTTCCTTGTTAGTTGTCATGAATCCAGAGGAGATAACCAATGACTATATATCGCACCTGCGGGTTGCCAAACAGCTAGGTTGTTAAATCACAATTGATACGCGTCCAGTAAAAGAATCTTGCCTACTAGTGCTCTTCGCTCACCTACACTCGAAGCATCATCCATCATGGACGATAATGGGACTGTTCAGACGACATCATTATGGATCATTCAATCATTCTTAATCACGGTCTTTGTGTAAACGAGGCATAGCTAAGCCAGGTGAACAGTATAATACAATCTACAATGCCTAACATGTCTTTGAAGCCCACTCGATTCCAGTGCGATTCAACGGCATATCCAGAGATTAACAATCAAGGGGGCACAATGAACCTTAGATATCGAAGTCAGTCTGAGGTCGGGGGATTTGAGGAGGGACGCCCCTTAGTAGATGTTGAATGTAATCTATTATTCAGATAAAATAACCCCCGTGACACCCATTTCTATAAACTTGGCATGTATAGACTGGGACAGTACCCCTCCCGACATCCATTACAACACTGCTCATTTTTTTATTCTTCAAGTAGTGTGATCTCAAATACATTCGGGCACGATTTCGCTGGGGAGCTAATAGTTATAACGTATTTTGCTGGAATATCAATTCTCAAGATTTTGAACGTAACGAGAGAGAGAAATTTGGCACCTCTTTTGTAATGATGACGTGACATTGTTAGACAAAATGTACTTTGAAAAGTTACAAAAATTATATCTGTGCGGAATGTGAGGTGACGGTTGCCCGAATATAACTTCAAAATTCTGGGGGGGGGGGGGTGGGGAGGGGTACTACAACCCCTCCCCTATCTCCCGCCTGCACCTAATTATACTTTTCCAAATACATGGAAAGTAATCACATGGCATTATCTCAGCTTGGATGAACACCATCAACAGTATCCCTTGCGT